GAATGACCCATATATATATATATATATATATATATATATATATTTTGACCGCGAAAAATGATTTTTGTTCTACAGTGCGTCATTAGGAATTTGAAGAAAAAAATATTTAATGATGAACATTTAAATAAGAATTTAAAATTGGATTTAACAATAAAAGAGCTAGTAGCACACTAGAACATGCAATGCTAAATGAGTTGCTAGCATTACTTCTTCGAACTCATCAGAAGCTAATGCTGAGCGCTTTAAGCACCTTTCACCGCATTGACAGTTGCCCATATCTCATGTTTGAGACTCCGTTTCTCGGAAACTGTCCTTTTTTGGACTTAGCGTTAATGAGAACTTTTGATCAGAATGTTTTGAACTAGTACAACATATTACGTTTTCAGCCAATTTGACTGAAAATTAATTTCCATATGATTTGTTCGGGGTCCATTCCTAATATGCAAGTTTCAGGACATTTATTCTGAGAAAGATACAGATAAAATATATTGCTGCTCACATTAATTGGAGGTTAATTAAATTTTATTTGCTTATTGCGAAGTTAAATGTCTAATGTTATAATACAAGCTTGTTACAAACATATTTTTTAAATTATTCTGACCACAGGACGGCAAATGTCCATGGTGTTAATTTTCATGTAAACATTCTTCTAATTAATTAAATTCCTTATAAACTTAATTCCTTTATGATTAAGCACTAATTTTAAAAATAATCATTTTATTAATATCACAAATATTCGATTACAGCTTTTTACATTAGACATTACGAAAATTTCATGCTCTAATATATAAATTTGTTAAAGCTGTCAATAATATTTTGCTGCTGTTGAAAATGTGATCGAGCTTTCTCAATTCGGTTTAAGAAAATGGGAAACATAACACATTTATTAAAAATTGTAATCATAATTATTTTAAATGTACAGTGCGCCAAAAAAATGGACCACCTTGAATAAATTTTTATTTAATGATCGGATCTTCAACGCTTTAGGACTCGTGCTTAATAGCTCGAGGGGGTGGCTACGAATATTTCAATTAATAAGGGGGCCGACGATATTTTAAGTTACAAACGCAGACACAAAAAAGTACTTTCTTTAAATAAACATACCTGTTTTTCAACGGATTTGGATTTCTGACCCCCCAAAATATAGGTGGTAGCCGCAATCTGGGAAATATGGTCCTCATAGTTAGGCCAGGAGAACGATTCTAAGCTTGTACCTCGTAGTGTTAATCTTACCTTTTGCGTATTTCGCCACATCTCCAGAACTTTTTAAGCAATATGAAAAATCTTTGCTCACAACTATAAAATTCGTCTATCCAAAGATAATTACAAAGCAAAAAATAAATTTTAGTAAATATTTATTATTTTTAATTATTTTATTAAATAATTGTCGAATAAATTTTGAATAGTAATGTATACAATTATTTGAATAATTTTAAACTATGCAGTTTTATATGAAATCGAATTTTAAAAAAGGTCATTTAAAAATCGATTTCGCAGTAACTATTCGACTGATTTCGCTCAAATTTTGTATGTATCGTCTGCCTTTATTAATTAGCATATTTGAAGTCACCCTCCCAAACCATTAGGAATGAGTCCTCGAACGTGACGATCCGATCATTAGATCAAAAGTTATTCAGAGTGGTTCGTTTTTTTTTTCTTCTTCTTTCTTTTCTTTGAGCACTGTACAACAGTGTTGGAACATAAAAAAATTTCCAAAATATTTTTGCAAGCATAAGAGACGCTCTTTTCATAAAAATATCAGTATTCACTTGCGTTGCTCAACTGCTCTCTGAAATGTTTGAGATTGTAGAAAAAATATAATAATTGAGTGTCCCAGACCCAGTCAAATCATGTAAATTCCCTGAACTTCTTCAACTCTTTATGAACTGCAATGGTTTTAGCAATTCGGAGCAGCTTTACTGCCTCTCTGGTTTTCCAACGTTTAAAGACTGAACCATATTACGTTAATTCAGTAGAAAATATTATAAGTATTTTATACATAACGAATAACAATTCTTTTTTTTCTTTTATAAAAAGTTCATTTTGAACTTACTGTAAGTAGTACAGCAGGAACAGGAGTGCATCTTTTAACATTAATCATTCCCAAAATTTCAGGTAATTGACCTTCTTGAGCAGCCATGGCAAAAAACCTAAAATTAAAAACAATTTCCTTCATATTGAATGGGATAATTGCAAGTGACGTATTGAGGGTATCTTGATTATGATTGGTTGTTGAACCGTGGCATTTGTTTGTGTTAGCAACTGTTCTTTCCATTCTATTTCGATAAGCCCATCAACCCGGTAAGTTTAAATTCCCTTGAGTGATACATTCTATATCCTTTCAGAAAGATACTTTTATAAGGGTTTCAATTCTTTCACTATATATTTCTTACTTAACACAAAGACTAGCACGAAGCCATGCAGAGCATAAACAAAATAATTATGCATCGAAGTTGCCAGGTACAGAAAACAAAAATATATCATGATTAAAATAAAATACATAAACTAATAATACATCTAAGTTGAGTAAAAGACATAAACGAGAAAGAATCATATTTCAACAAATTCGATGTGCGATACGGCACTGTACTTAACTTCACGATTATAAATATTTTAACTTCTGTGAAGAAACTTAGCTTAATTTTAACAAACCATTTTGCTTATAAATGATGAGCTAGGGCTGACGTCATAGTTCACATATGTCGAATAAATTAACATTAAGGGTATCCGTGATCTTCTTGAAGTACGAGTACCCAATTAATCAAAAAAAAATTTTTTTTGGTTAAATAATAAGTTTTCGTAGAATACTAATATTTTCTTATAGAAAGCGGAATATGTATGAAAAGAATATTTACACCAAAAATATTATTCGTTAGAATGCGAACTATTTATAGGACACAGAAACAAAATCGTCGTTTAATTCAAAGTAAAGAGAGTGGGTTAAAACCATCGAAACGATATTGCTTGTCAGATGTAAGTTGAAATTTTTTTAATTTCCGTTTCTGTAGAGAATTAAACAATCTTTGATGATTTTTAGTACCCCTCATTTGTTTTTCCTTGCTTAAATATTTGTTTTTAAAATCTGTTTAACAAAGATTCCAAAAATGTAGATTATAGCTAATAGTTACATAACTCCCAGTAAATCAAGTTATCTTACCCATTCAAATGCTTCTTTGAATAGAAATAAAGCTTTGATATTTAGAAGAAAGAAAAAACAGTAAAATTCATCTTTTATTCGATAGTAATAAAAACTAGAGTCAACCTAATTTATATGATGTTTTGATGTTTTAATTCGAATTGTTAATCCTAGTTTTTAAAACTGATAAACAGATTGTAACCTTAATTATATTACACAGTAATTTTCGACTCAATTTTCAGTAACTAGATATTTTAATCGAAATTCACATTTGGTATTAAAATTGAGTTGAATGAAACAATACTTTGATGGATAAAAAAGAGTTTATTTTTCTATTTTTAACTATTTTAAAACTCTAATGCTTTGCGCTAATACAAGGTAGGGGCCGAGCTGATTAACCCTTTGACGCCAAAGTGACACTGGTGTCCCTTTTATATATTTTTTTCTGACGTAAGAAAAATATAATTTAGTATTTTTTTTAATAAAAAATACATTCTAATAGTTACTAAACAAAATATGTTAGATTATCGGAATTATATTTGTACTAGAATATAAAAAGTAGTTTGAATAGATATTCTTTTCTTTCATATTCAAAAATTTATTAGTAATTGATTTCATAAATTAAAGAAATTTCAATGATAAATAACGGTTTCTCTTTAATCTAAATAACTGCAAATTTTAATAAGTGCAATGTTTGCAGTAAGTGAACTAAATAAGTGCAAATATTAAAAATTATAGTTTGGATGTGAGCCTTGTTTGGAAGATTTTACCTATAAAGCCGAAGACACCTGTGTTACATGCTGTATTTCATAACCATAAATTATTTTTAAAAAAAAATATAATATTTTTCACTAATTTTGACCTAAATTAATACAAAATAATGAAAAAAAATATGAAAAATTTGTTTAGTAAAAATTCTGCGTCAAAGGGTTAACACGTTTCAATCTTAATTACTCTGCAGGCATAAACTTATATTGATTGGTTGGTTGGGAATCAAAAGAAGAAAGGACGCCTTGTAACACATTCAATGTCCATAAAGCAGAGAACATAGTCTTACCTCAAGTTATTACAAAACGATGGCAATTTACTGTTGGTCGTCATGGTAATGGATTCTTTAAAGACCATGTTTTCAAGACGTACGTTCTGAAAGAAGTAGCGTCTAGTAACTTGCGACGGTAGACATTTGACAACTTCCAAATGTATTTACAAGAGTATGTCAATTTAAATGTAGGCCCTTTTGCAGACTCTATTTTAAAGAACTAAAGTTTTGAGAGTTGGTAAATAAGTGACATATGTTTCAGTGTATATATAGACTATACAACTTTCCTTTATTCTGTTTTCTACCGTTTCAAATTTATCAATCGGCTTGCTGCCACCTTATGGAAAAAAAATGAAAAAAATGTTTTCTAATTAGAGAAGGAAAAAAATACACACCGTCCTGATGTAAAAAGATTTCCATTGACTCCACCAAACGTTGATAATGCCACGAAGATAGGCATACACCATGCGACTTTCGCACCAAACATCACAGTTGCAAAAGTCTGGAAAGATATTTATTCAGCGATTATATAAGATATCATGAAATTGAACCATTTCAATAAAATTCTCAAACACACAATTAAAATACGAGTTTTTGTTTAAAGAAAATAAGATATGCATTAAAATAATTTAAATACACTGTCTGTAGTCTTAAACTGCTGCTACTTATTAATTTTACTTTCATCATTATTTTAAATAGCTCGTCAAAACCTTATAAGTTATACTCCAACGCTAAAGTTTTAAAGGAAATATATTCTATAGTTCGATGCTTTTCAAACACGATTCTTGTGCCGCTATCTGTTATTTTAGGTTTTAACAAGTATGAACGGATTTTTTCTTTTTTCTTTTTACTTAGGAATTTTTTTTTTCATTAAGAAATGTTAAATGCATTTTGGAGGGGAAAAATTAAAATTAATGATCGAAATTTTTTTTTCAGCTTTCAGATGGGCATATTTGTTTTCTTTTTCATTATCTTAATTTTTTGATCCATATTTTTTTTATAAAATGTTCAAGTTATCATACTTAGAAATACGCTATGTTATCACATTTTCTAATCTAGAAAGCAATGTGTAAAGATTACTTACATCGTCATATCTATTACATTTTAATTATTCACTTGCATAAGCTTCAAGACGAAAAACAAATTATTACAGTTTGAGTAAATTTTTAAGGAAATATTTCAATTGATTAAAAAATTTATAAGTTTAAAGCTCGCACTTAGTATTATTTATTTCTTATCCAGATTTCGAACTCTTCGATTTCTGTTAAAATTTAAAAGATATTCTTTTACAACAGACGATGCCATTTCCTTATCATTGAGAGTTGAAACAATAATAAAGAAATTTTCGAATATTTAATTTTATTAATTTGCCGCACAGTCAGTGGGAGGGAAAGAGGCTATCTTTCACGTCTTAGGCCGAGATTCGATTCCCCATGCTGAAGAAATGATAGCATCGCACTTCATCCGATTGTGGTGGTTTGAAATCCACTTTAATCTTTTTAATTCTAAACACAGCGAAGAAAACACGTTTAAGAAATGAACACAGCTTATAATGCTTGCTTTAAAAAATTGACACAATCCAAAAAGCGTGTTTAAAAATAGAAAACACATCAAAATGTGTTTAAAAATGAACACAGTTCGAAAAGCGTGTTTAAAAATGGACACGCTCAAAATGCATGTTTAAAGAAGAAAAAAAGTCAAACTGTGGTTAAAAAATGGACGACTTAAAATGCATGTTTAAAAATGGACACAGCTCCAAATAGCGTGTTTAAGAAAATTTAAACAACCCTAGCAACACAAGAACAGATGGAACTAAAAAGAGAGAAATTACATCCATGCCCGAAGCAGAATTCGAACCCGGGACGTTCCTGGTATGAGGTGAACCCCTTGACCACCATGCAGAACGGTTGGCTATTCGAAAATTAATACAGGAGGATGATTCTTGAGCTATATGGAATAAAAATTAAATTTACAAAATCTAATGAGTTTAAAAAATTTAAGAAAATCACATAAGTAACTTTATATTTTGAAATTTAATTTATGATTCATTCGATATGCTTGTCATCAATGTCTATGATGTAATGCAGAGGAACAGCAAAAATTCTGCAAAAGTTTCTGCAGTATAAGGGCATCGATGCTTTTACGGACATGAATGGAAGTGTTGAGCTCTGAGATGATTTTGGTGTGCTATTATTGCTTTAAATTTTGAGCCATATAAATTGTCGAAGATCAGAAGAATTGGGTAGTTTAAGTGAGCATGCAGTTTTATTGAGTAATGAGCAACAAAATAGACCGGTTAAAAAATAATAAGAAAATTTATAGATAAATAATAAACCTTCATTGAAAATGTTTTATTATATGGCTCAATAATTGTCCCCATGCAACGAAAGGCTATTCAGCAACAAAGGGCTTGAGTATTGAGCTCAAACTATTCAAAGCAAGAAAGTGGCTATTGTTCATAATGCAGCCCAAACAATTTGCAAATTACAAAAAAAGAAATAAAATAAACGCAAATACCTAATTTTGTTCTCGAATTATTGGAGAACGTACGTACAGAATTTAAACCTTTGGCGCATATAGAACACCGGTTCCCTATTTTACATATATTTAAATTTTTTTTTCATTAAAAAATTTATCAATTTTGTAAATGAAAGAAATTTTATTAACTGTTTTTCTTATATCTAAATAACTGCAAATAAGTGCTAATTTTAAAAAAAAATTATTGTTTGGAAGTGAGTTTTATTTGGAAGATTTTTTATTTAACGCAGATAAAGACATTGGTGTTTCATGTTCTATTTCCCATCATAAATTATTAAAATGCTAAATATAATATTTTTCACTTATTTTGACCTTAAATTAATACAAAATAGTATAGGGTTAAAATGTATATAAAGAGAGATTTTAATTTTTTTTTAAAAAAGAAGAACTTATAGAATAATTCTTTAAACCGCATAGGTCTTCTTACTTAATTAGACTTTAAGCAGAAACTGTCAGATTTTTTTCTTTCTTTTAGTTCAATTTAATTTAGCATGAAGAAGTCAGCGAATTTTTTAACCGCACTGTGAAGAAATATTTAAAATGAGAATCCTCATATAAAAAAAAAGTTTTTCCTAAAGAACACAGTCACTATCATTCCTAGAGAACAGTTAAGGAATGTGACAGTTTCCGCGGTTAGAAATAGGAATTCCTTAAATGATCGACGGAGAATACTTGTTGCTATGATCAAAAGCGAGAACAATTTCATTCTCAGAAGGTTGTCATGGTTACAACATGAACCTAGCAACATGTGCGTAGGGAAAGAAAAGTTCCAGGCAGAGAAATAACCGGATTAATTTTAACAATGGTAAAACTAAAAGAAACCATTGAAATTAAACTAAATTCTTTTAAGTTAAAGCTTTATTTTGGAATTGTTCTAATAAAAACAGATTTTGTGAGATTACACAATAATACACTAGTGAGTTTTATATCGTTTCAATTATGATAGAGTATTTTTAAATGTAGAAGCGATAATCTAATATTCAATTCGATCATATATATGTACTTATAACTCATTTATAATTTATAGATTGTCATGCAAGAAAACACATTTATTTTTCCAAATTGGAATACTTAGTTTTGTGACAAATAATTATCTTGCTTACTTTTTAAGGTAAATTTCTTTGACGTTTACAAATTCTACAACTGTTTTAAATAACTGTTTAAAAATAAAAAGGCTCACATTTTTTTTTTTTCAGAAATAACGCCTTAATATGTTTTAGTTTGTTAAAACAATAAGTTTGAATGAAGAATTTTTCTGATTTTTACTTGATATTTAACCAATTTATACAGATATTTAAGAGTTTTACTGAATTTTACAAATATTTAACACTAGAAAGGCGGAAAATCAGTATATACCTATATTGCCCAAAAGCAATCAAAATGACTGGATTGTGAATGCATAAATAAATTTGTTTAAAATTAATTTTTAGCATTTTTTATATTATTTACAAGTATATAACAAGTTATTAGTAAATATTAACAATAAAAAAAATTATATGTTGTACAAAAAGTCACAAAATTCCAAGAAACTGTGTCATTATATACATCATTGTTTTTCTAATTGAAATTAAAAGCAGTCAAAATGACTTCCTTAGGCAATCTAGTGTTAATCCTTTGCTGTCATGTTAATTTATACATATTTGTCATACTAACTTTTGTTAGACAAACATAACGTTCTAGATAATGAAAAAAAAGCTAACTCCCTTTTAAGATAAAAAATGTTATCACATTTAGAACCAATTTCTAAAAAATTACTTTGAGCTTTTTTTTATCTCCAAAACCTATCGACTTTAGTGAATAATATGGTTCAATACTATAAGAAAAGAATGATACTTTGCTTTGGTGGGTGAGAGCAAATATACGGCTGAAACAGTAAACAGACACACGGCTGAAACAGTAAACATACACACGTCTGGAACAGTAAAAAAGACTGATGGCTGAGAACAGCCACAGGACTAGAGTAGTTAAAAAGCTTTGGTGGATTCGAGTAAACACAAGGATGGAACATGAAATGAAAAAAGAGCAGAGATACAACAAGAACGGTTAAAAAGCTTTGGTTGCTGAAAGCAGACACACTGATGGAACATGAAAAAGGTTTGATGACTGAAAGCAGACACAAGATCACAAATGTCAAAACCCAATTTATTGTTATTTAAGACTTATCATAATCTTTGTTTGCTCATTTCTCAATATGCCCTCTGATTGTAATCCTAAAATCAAATGAGAAAAGCACCACTCTGACGTTTAAAAATATAGGCGTTATTTTTTTGTAGTTTTTAGTTAAAACTTTTGAAAAATATATAAAATTATGCGATAATGATTGCGCCAAATTTGAATTTTTAAATAAGTTACAGCACAGCTAACAATACAAAGCTGTGTCAGAATCTTGTGCAGCATATATAATCTTAGAACTTTCAACGGGATTTTCCTCGCATGGCTACCTCAGAAACTAGTCATAATTTTATAAAAATAAAGTCGTAATCAAATAAGTAATCAAATTTACAATAATAATCTGACGTAAAAGTATTTCACGATCAACATTTTTGAAATTATTATAAACTTCAGCATGTGCGTTGCATAAATATATGCTTTGCATCAAGTTTTTGCATAAATGAAGAAAAAAAAATAATAATTTTTAAAACTAAATAAAAATATGAAAATGGATGTAAAAAAAAAATTTCACACTGCATTGCAGAAATTTTTTTTATCATTAATAATCATATAAAATAAACTGGAAATCAGCTGAATAGTTTTTAAGGTATTTATTTACAAATTCGAAAACTAGAGTATCCTAGAAAACGCAGTTGTATTTTGAAGATTCATGTGTTCTGCATTTAAATAACTTCAGATCGAACGATCGGATCTTCAGGTTCTAGGACTCACACTTAATGGTTCGAAGGTGTGACTTCAAACTAATTCATTAGTGCAGACGATATTTTAGGAGGATATTTAATTATTGAATCCGTCAAAAACAGGTATGTTTATTCAGAGAAAGTACGTTTTGGTGTCTGATGGTTTCAAAACTTAAAATATTGCCTGTACTACTTAATTAGCATAATTGAAGTCCTCCCTCTAACCACTAAATTTGAGTTCTGAAACATGAAGATCCGATCATTAGATCAGTTATTCTGGATACTCCATTTTTCTTTTTTTTTTACGCATTGTATTTTAAATTACTTAACTCTGTAATGGTCCTAATAACTACTCCGAATTTCAAGCAGTAAGATAATTCAATGCAGTAATTATTTTAACAAGTGGATCTACACAATTCAAACCATCAGAAATGTAAAAATTAAGCATTTTACAAAACAGTTTGCTTATGAAATTAAGCAAGTAATTACAATGTACAAAGATTTAACGTTTAATCCGTGTCTTTTCAAAGAAAGCAATTGAAATACGAGCAAATAGGAAATTAAATCTAGTGATTGGGTAAAATCTGTCGATTGCAGGCAAATGTAATGATTATAAAGTAATAGGATCAAAGCTATTTATATCACAATTTAATCTGAGTCTACTAATAGAAAGATAATAAAAATTACCACGGCAACAGCTGGTGACGCCAAAAGTTGTGTTGGCGAAATTACGGCGAAGTAGGCAATATTCGAAAGAACATAAACGATTGTCACTAATGGTAGACCAATCCATATTGCTCTAGGCAAGTTTCTAGAATAATAGGAAGCAATAAGAAATTAGGAATCAGATCAAGTGCAAAATGACAGTAAAAATATTTATTTCTGTTGAATAATCCTCGCAAGGAAAGGTCACAATGAAGCTTTCGTCATGAAATAAAAAATATTTTGATGGAAACATCGTATTAAGCATATTAATTTTGAATCATATTTTACTGGCCTAAAATTAGATTTTTAAGACAAAATTGTATAACATTACAATCAAAATGCTGCAAAGTAGTCAAAATTCGTTTTCATTGATATATTTAGTCAACATTTTAACGTTAAATTTTATTAAAAGATATCAATCGTGGATTTAAAGTTCATTATATTTCTAATTAAATCAAGAAACGAACAATTCGAAAAGGTCCCACCCTTCTAATCACTTGTTGAATAAAACCAATTAATTTTAAATGTAATTGGTGAAATTATGTTCGCAAAGTTCAAATTTCCAAAAGTGTGCCTATTTCGTTTTATTAAACGACCTACACCAAGTCTCTCTATTACAGATATTTTTTTAAATATTAAAAAGCTTTTGATAAATGCGTTTAAATCATCGCAATTGAAAAAAAAAATTTCCATTAATTTTTCAAATATTACAATGAACAAAAAAAAATCGAAAGAAAAATAACTTCCAAGAACTTATGCTACCAAAATGATTGGTGGTTTTCAAATAAATAGCTAAAATATTTAACGTGTTTTACAATAAAAAGTATGCATATTTCGTAAATTTGTATGTCTACAAACAGTCATGCCTCTGAAACAAGACAAAGTACATTTTAACTCCTTAAAATGCTGCGAAAGTCATTTGGAACAAACAACCTGATAATTATTGCCTATCTAGTTCAAGAAACATACATAAAACTCTCATTCTTTTTTCTTACATGATATCTAATAACATTGATCAGGGATTAACAATTCAATTATTAATTCCTTGAGGGGAAAATGTACCATACCATCTGGGATTATTACAGTTGATAATTTTTCTCAGTTAATCAATCAAAACAAATAAGGCTACGGGCTTCAATAACTTAATCAAGCGTTAAATTCATAGCCTGAAACGAAATCACGTACACCTTTTTATTCTATTCAAGTATTTTTTTTTCTTCGTTTGTTACTAGGTAGGTAAACATAAACCGTATAATTCAAGGTAATTTGGAAGGCAAATTGCGAATATGATACTCTATCCAACAAGATATGGATATTTCTTAATGTTCTATCTGAAATGTATTCGGATTTCGTAATGTCTTAATCAGAAAAGTAATCAAGAATGAAGGATTATTGTACTCGAATGTAAACGAAACTTTTTACAGAATAGAGCTACTTAGAAAATGTATGGAAATGACCAAAATTTATTTTTGAATCAACATTTCATTTGAGCACTTTCAAAATAAAAAAATGCAGTTAGTTGAAATCAAATTTGTAGGAATGCGTATCAATTCGAAATTCTTAGTTCGGAAAACTAGAAATTTCGAATGCATAAAGCGATAAAGGAGATATTTATTTAATTTATTTTAGTAATTCATTTTCAAATTTCATTTATGATTTTTCAGTATGCATATTTAAGGATATTTTCAGTAAGTTAGAGGCCTGTTCAAATGTAATCCGTTGTAAATTTTAAAAGAATTTGTGCACTAAAATTATTCATTGATTTGTTCAAGATTAAATTCTAATAAATTATTAAAAACATTAAGTTACTATTAAAACATTAAGTGCATACCACAAAACACAGTAAGAGGATTATGTAACCGAGCAGATCATTTCATGAATTATGTAGCCGCACAACACATTTCATGAATTATGTAGCCGCACAGCACATTTCATGAATTATGTAGCTGCACAGCACATTTCATGAATTATGTAGCCGCACAGCACATTTCATGAATTATGAATCTGCTCAGCACATTTGATGAATTATGTATCCTCACAGTCAAAAAATTACGCACTCGTGCAACACAGTTACATAAGGAATCCACGCAGCACAGTTACAGATTTAAATACTCACACAGCACATTTAAAAATTTAAGTATCCAATCAACACAAAATAATTCATTTTAGTTTAAAAAATAAGTCATTGAAACTTATATTACAGCAGTTTTGCTGTTACATTACAACTAGGATTGCCACTAGGATTTAAAGCTTAGTTAAAGTATAAGATTGTATGAAAATATTTAGTCACAATCGATTAAAATTAGAATCGTAATTAGAACCCATCATTATTTGTGTCTACAACTGTATTTATAATCACCACCAACATCAAATTACAATAACAAGTAATAATACATATAATCTATACATAGATAATATGCGTATGTACTATACATATAATCTAGGCATGAATAAAAATCTGTGATTTCAAATACAAGTTAAATATTAAGATCTTAAAACATTACTTATTTTTAACTTGTTAACTTTAACTGGACTAAACTTTCGATTAAATTAAATGTCATAGAGGTTAATGACACAAGGGTCGGAAAATTCATATTCCTTCTGACAAACTCAAATTACTTTACATAATCCAGATAAAAATGTGCTAAAAAATAAATTTAAGATAACGTCTTTATTTTTTTTTTTAAATTTTAGTATTCCAAGTCTCATTTAAAATACATTTGACATCAAGTCTAACTTAAATCAGAGCCTAAAACAACAAAATATAAAAATCATTAAATTTTATAATTTAAGTTAAAAAAATCATAATTTTTGTTTTCTTAAACTGAGTTAAAAATAACGAATTAAAAATAAAATTGTACCTTACTTGTAAGGATCTTTTAACTCTCCCGTGACAAAGTTCAAGTAATTCCTAAAAAAAGAAAAAGTATTATGAAATTACAAAAATAGTTGATGAGAAGTTGAAAGCAAAAATGAAGTAACAGTGACTGATAAAAATATAGAAAAGATTTTAATATCAGTTTATGACAGTGCATAGTTGTAGAAACCTTACAAATTACTAGATTAAGAAACTTCTACCTCTAGGCGAAGTTGTTAGAATTCTTAAGCGCACTCTTTAAGATAAAACTTGTTCTATTATCTTGGATTATATCATTTTTAGACTTGACATTTCTCTTGGCAATAGTCGAATTTTTGTTGAACATAGGGAATATTAAATATATGAAGCAGAATAGTAACTCCTCATTATAACGCATATATGGATACAAGAAAACCACTAACGCCGCATCATCTTTCCCTCTTTTAAACTAAATCAACATACTAAAGCCCTAAATCTTGATTAAATTGATTTACGTCTTCCTAAAAAACATTTTGAGGTCAAATTTTGATTATTATTTCATAATCTTGATTGAAAAAATCGCAAAATATTTTTCTGAAAAAATTCTTTTTGAAGAGCTACATTTGAAGTTACATATGAAACAGAATAGTAACGTATCATTATGATGTATACACGGGCCCCATGATGGCTCATGGGACAGAGCATTCGTATTCCAATAAAGTGAGCCGGGTTCGAATCCCAGCGATGGCTGATTGATACGAATTCTGAAACTGGCTTGCATCGACCAGAGTGCTGACGTAAAATATCTTAAGTGGTGGACGAATCATGGGTCAGAGTCTTCTTGCCGTCAGGCTAACTGTGGGAGGTTTTCGTGGTTTCCCTCTCCATGTAACGCAAATGCGGGTTAGTTCCATCAAAAAAATCCTCGACGAAGGCAAATTTCGCTTGATGCTTGATCCAGGAGTTCCCTTGTCTTCTGGATTGTGTTCAAAATTACAAGGCTACAGAGCTGAATATTAGAAGTCGTAAACCCGAAAAATTGGGTCGGTTGTTCAACGACGGTTATAAAATGTATATATGGCTGAAAGAAAACCACTTATTACGTAACATCACTCCCTCTTTATAGCTTAGATTTCTCTTTTTTTTCCCCTATTATCCTTATTTTAACATCATATCAATTCTACAACAGTAAGATTTCTATGATAATTTCAAATTCTTGCCATAAGATTCTATTTAAACTAAGTCAACTTACTGAAACCCCAAATCTAGATTAAATTGATTTACTTCTTTCTATAAAACTGTTTTTACTTTGAAATTTTGATTATTTTTTTTTTATAATTTTGTTCGAAAAAGTCTGGAAATAATTTCTGAAAAAGACATTTCTTTGGCGAGCCGCATTTTGCTGTATATTTGAAACAAATTTTGGCTGAATATTTGGCTGTTCAAAATAGTAACTCTTCCCAATAACGCATATATGGCAACAAGGAAACTCCTTGTAACGTAACATCTCACCCTCTTTATAACTTATATTTCACTTGAAGGGTAACTTCTTTATATAATTCTTATTCATAATTTCTTATTTGTAATTTCTTCTCTAGTAAGATTTCTACGATTGATTTCAATTGCAATAACATTTTATTTCAACTAAATTAACACATTAAAACCCTGAATCTAGATTACATTGATTCACTTATCTCTTGAAAACATATTTTGTGATTATGTTTTGATTATTATTTTATAATTTTGTTTGGAAAATTCTCTTTTTTGGAGAGCCACATTTGGATGCACATTTTAAAAATATTTTAGCGGTATATTTGGCTGCACATACTAAACAGAGTAGTAAATCCTCATTATAAAGCATACATAGCTACAAGAAAACCACTTATAACGTAACAGCTTTTTCTCTTAAAACTTATATATCACATATTTATCTTTATATTATCCTTATTTATAATTTCGTATCAATTATACTCTAGTAAGAATTTTTTGATTCTGATCCTAAATATAGATTAAAGTGATTTTCTTCCTTAAAACATATTTTGTATTTGAAGTTATTATCATTTTATAAATTTGTTTGGAAATATCGTGAATTAATTTTTTAATAAACTCACTTTTTTTGGTTAGACACATATAGCCATTTGTTTGAAAAGCTTGGTGTAAATAATTGTAGAATCTATTTTTAAGTACTGCATTACTTTTAATATGCGTGGCAATATTTAATGATTTATTATAAACATGATTTTTAGAGTTTTTATTAAAAATTTTAATTATAACAAAAATATACTAACCATCCTGCATAAGCAAAAAGCCCGTAATAAAAAGCCAAAGAAATGGATTTGGCGGATACGTTGGCATCAAAAGCATTTTCTAAATACTCTGTATGACCTAATAATAAATAGAGATAAAATTTAAGAAATATATGAGAAAAATAAACAGTAACTTTTTACATGCTATTTTTCATTAGGGAGGAACCCCATCCTGAATATTTCAAAAATTCGAAAAAATTTTATTACATTTTTCGAATCTTTGTACTCTTCCTAATGTCTGTTTAAAGCGATTTATCGGTACCTAACTTTGTTTGGAAATTATAACGGAAAATAGAGAGTCGTCGCTAAGCTGGTAGAAAGGCCCGTTCGACCGGATTAGGATGGGCGACATTCTTTTTTTGTCTCATCCATTCTGTTGACTGTATATAGAAACTTATTGTAGGCATTTCATTTATCGACCATCATATATATGAAATTAAACGTTTTCCCCTACCATAAGTTAAAACTTTAAACGCGTTTTTCTCAAAGCGCTGTTTTTTGACCTGGCTTAACGTTTTTCTCATGATCTATACAACGAAATAAGCTGTTCTTTATTTTAAATTACGTAAAAATATATTCTTTAGAAAGTAGCATAGGATTTTTTTTGTTGATATTTTTATATTTCGATTTTATATTAGTATTTTAATAAATATTTTTCTAATGAAAAACTTAACTTTTTTTTTAAGTTGCCGCCATTTTGGTAATTTGGCGAATATCAAAAAACCGCTATGCTACTTTTTAGCTAATGTCTTTATGTTTTATAAAATCTAAACAAAATCGTTTTCCTAAGTTTCAGGATTTCTAAATCGATGAGGCCAGTGAGGTGCTACTTTTTACTGACCAGCCACACACGGAGCTGCCACCAATTTAATTTTTATTATTTTGTAAAAGAAAAAATTTTAAAATAGACTTAAATTGTAGCTGAATAACATAAAAAAACAAAAAGTCTCTGCATTGTCTCTATTACTTAAAAAAAAATTTAAAAAAAACTTTAATATTTTACCATCTTATGGTGCGGTCCCCCCTTAAAGACCCAAAAAGAGAAATTTAGCTTTGCCATTTGGTTAAAAGCTGTGAAGGTTTTTCTAAAAAAAATGAGTAATTTTTTTCTGCATGCCAAATAAACAAAATGAACCTAAATAAAATTTAATAATGAGTAATTTGTTAACACCGCTCTTACTGCATATACTTAGAATCCATATAGAAATGAATTGTTATTCTCCTAGTTGGGTCACAAATAAATATTTAATTACAAAATTCAAAGTCTAAAAACTGAACCTCAACTGAAATCAATTTTCAAATTGAAGATGTGGGTTCTAATTATTTTATTCTCGGCAATAGTTCACAAAAATATATATGTAGCGTTGTGATTTAACAACTCATTTTATTCTTCAACGTAACGCTACAGCAAACAACCATTATATAATTAGATAGACAAATAGCCTAGATGTGTTATTTTAATTTAATTATAACCAGGGATTTTTTATGCCTCGAAAAATCTATTTCATTCCAACGATTAGATTAATTTCGCTTTTGAGATAGCAAATGGAGGAATCTTGCTATCAAAATTTTTTTTAAATTTAATTTCATCTTTGAGAGTGATGCTATGACAATACAAGTTTCAACTGCCACCAGACCACGCAGAAGTAGAACTTGACGTCATTTTATCACCAAATGTAATTATAGGTCAATCAAAATTTCGACTATTTTCAGAATAGTTACTATCTTTGTAAATACGAGGGTTGTAAATTAAATAGTGGCAACTTAACCTTAAAACTCAAAGAAGGGCGGGCCTGCGCAAATAGGATATGGGAGCGGTGAGGTGGTGCTGTTGTCGATGTGTAGAGTGCAAAAAACATTCGATCTGCTTGAAAGGGTAGTTGTTGTGTGGCGTTAAAGTGAGGAGTTTCGTTTCCATCGCTCTAAAGCATGCTTTCAAAAGGCTTAATGACGAAAAAAGACGAGATGTTTGAACACATCTTGCTACTGTCCTATACGGTAAAGTATTCGCGCCACAGGCTTCCACTAATCCTCGATAGCATTCTGTTGCATTTTTGCCACGGGCAACCTCGATTTTAAGCCACGACCGCTGATCACCATTTGAAAGCATGCCTTAGAGTGATGGAAACGAAACTCCTCACATTAACGCCACACGACAACTACCCTTCTTAGCAGATGGACTGTTTTTTGCACTCTACACATCGACAACAGTGCCACCTCACCGCTCCCATATCTTATTTGCGCATGCCCGCCCTTCTGTGAGTTTCATGGTTCAGTTGCCACCAGGGACTAATATAGGGGTTAAGGACATTTAACTTTCCCGGGGGGGTTTTAGAAAAGCAACACGCTTTTGACAGACCGGTTTTACGCGCAAAAAGTGGCGCTCGCGTNGACATCTCCGCCGTACCTTTGCATTGCGCGTAATCAGTGTTGATCATTAAAAAGCAATTTAATTTAAATTCTAAAACTTTTTCATTTCCGTAAACCAGTATATTATTTTGTATATTGCTTAAAGATGTCTATTCATTACTCATAATTTATTTGTTTGTTTATTGAAGCTTTAAAAGCAGAGATCATTCAGATTACGAGCAATAGTTTCGGTTTTGTTTAGTTTTTGTTTTCAGAACTTAGATTAATTAAAACCGAAGGAAGGATATTTACTTATCCAACCATAGTTATTAGTTTGAAGCGTCTGGTTCTATTATAACTGAAGTATAGATGCTTATATTAGCATTTTTTTATACTTAAAAATATGATTTAACAGAAGGAGTTCGAAACTAAAATCCTTTGAATTTTATAAGTTTACTATTATTGTTTCAAAATCGTAATAATTAAAAATGCACATCAATGACACATTTTTTTAAAGCCATGCAACTGTAAATTTGTTAAAATTTCTGATGAGAATTAAAAATAAAAATCTTTTTCATGAAAATAATTATTCGTAGTATTTATTATGAACTCGATTGTATTATCTATTAATTTCCGATCTTTATTAATGCCTTTGCACAAATAATTATTCAAATTATTATAATATATATATATATCAGTATCAAAATCTCCCAATTCATTGCTTAATGTCCGCGTAAGACTATGTACCTCGCTAATTAATTGCCCACAATCAAATGCTCTTCATTTTGTTTTGATTTACAAGGAATATAGATAAAATAATTCATAATTTATGTAAATATTTAAACATTGCTGCCTTTATGAATGTTTTTCTTAAGAAAACAATCATATTTTGCGTTACACGTAAAGGGAAACCACGAAAATATCTTTCAGATTGCTTGACGCTTAAGGAATTCCAGCGAAATGCTCAGTAATCGTAATGAATTTTTTTTATATAATAAATAATTTTTTTAGCGTCTTTGACAGACAGTCAATTATTTCGGTGAATATAGCGAGATGCTCTTCATATTTTTTGTAATTTTTAACTCATTCCAAAAATCAAAGTAACGTGCAATTTAAATATCGGCGTAAAACAATGTTTATAAAAGTTATAAAAATAATTTATTTTAACCAAGATTAAGTTGAAATTAAAGTAATAAAATTTTGCGTTACACGCAAAGGAAAACCTAGAAAATGTTTTTCAGATTGCTTGGCGGTAATAGGATTTCAACTAAATGTTCATCTTTATCTCAATGAAATTATTTTTTTATAAGCAGCCATTTTTTATTATTAATCAGGCCTAGCCGTTGTGGTTCAGAAGATCAGGAGTCTCCTTGAAGTCAGGCTAACCGTGGGATGTTTTCCTCAAAATGTAACGTAAATGCGGGCTAGTTCCATCAAGAAGTCCAATATGGAGGCAAATTTCTCTCAATACTTTATAAAGGACTCTCCCTGTCTTTTGGATATGATTTAAAATTGAATTTACGGAGTTAAACATGAGTAGGCGTAAGCACATAATTAGGTCGGCTGTTCGACGACGGTTATAAAATTATGAAA